TATCTATCTATCTATCTATCTATCTATCTATCTATCTATCTATCTATCTATTTATCTATCATATTTTTATAGCCACCCATCTCACACAAGTCTACAATAATTAAAAAGAATACATAAAAACAATTACAAATAAAAAACTTTAAAAACACACAAAATAGGAGGGGATAAAATTAATAAGAGAGCCATCGTAAAATCTCCCCAGTCCCCTGGGAGCCCCGGGGCTGATTACATAGCCAGGTCTTGAGGGACTTGTGGATTGTTAAGAGGGATGGAGCTAATCACTTCTGGGGGGAGAAGTTATCTGCAGCCTAGTTTCATATACAGGTAGTCCTCAGGTTATGATGGCAATTGGAACCAGGATTGCCATTGCTAAGTGATGCAGTCGTAAAGCACAACATCACATGACCACATCACTTAGTGACGGAAATCCAGGCAGTCTGGGTTGCCATTGTAACCCTAAGGTATACGTGGGCTGTTAAGCGGGAAGTGGTGGGAGTCCCAAGTAAGGAGCTATGGGTGCTGCAAGGGAGTGGGTGGGGCCCTGCATGAATTGAGATGGGGGTTGCTGTGGTGCAACATGAGTGCAGGGAGGCCAAGGGAAGGAGGGTACGGGTCTGTGCAAGCGCCAGGGGGGCGGCTTAACAGAGCAATTTGCAACCTTCCCTGCCGGCTTCCCCATTGACTTTGTGGGAAACTGGCAGGGAAGGTCACAAATGAGGATCATATGACTGTGAGATGCCACAACCATTGTTAAGTACAAGCTGGTTGCCAAGCACCTGAATCGAATCACGTGACTGGGGGGCACTACAATGTCTGGAACTTTGAGGACTGGTTATAAGTACCACTCGTTCAGTGCCATCACAACTTCAAATGGTCAGTGAACAAGTGGTTGGTAAGTGAGGACTACCTGTATTCACAGTTTGGGGCACATAGGTTTGTTTGGAAGACTTCTGGAGTTTTCTTAGGTATTTTATGTGTACATTTTTGTCAAGGTCTCATTATCCACAATTTCGTTATCTGTGATTGTTAAACCACAAATAACAAGAGCCACCTTTGTAAATAATGTAGATATTGCACAAAACATTTCCACTTATTAAAACGAAAGGAACAATCCTTTTTATGTAGAGCTCTTGATAGCCTGTGTAATTCGTTTATCATTGAAATGTTCTCTATTTCAAGAGAAATTCATCAAATAAACAAAAACAATAGAGCTTGGGACCCACATTTGCAACCCAACAAAGCTACCTTGATGGCATTTGCTAAAATTTTCAAAGCTTAAGTTCAAGAACTGGGATTATGTTATATATGTGCAGGCTATGACAGAGAGTGAATGTATGACATAGCTGTCTAGGTCCATCTGTGATAGGAAGAACTTTTCCTCCCCTCCCCCCATCCCAAATTGGAAGGTGTTACTGGTAGCTTTGTGGTACAGCTTTGCATTTATATATTGTGTGTGTGTGTGCGCGCGCGTGCGTGAGTGTTATATAATGTATATCATTGCTGTGATGTTTGGGTTACTTGAAAAAAGGCCTTCTGAGTGTAACAGTTGATGAACATTGGCAAATAAGGGAGCATAATACTCCCAATAAAATGCATAGGTTTATTGCCTTCTAACAATTGTATCTTCAAGAACCAACAGTGGTCACCAAGGAAAAAGGAAATTATTTGCTGTGCCTCCACTAAAGATCATTGCTATTCAGTTTTTCTTGATTTGTTGCTCTGTAACGAATTCTGATGTGGCTTAAAAGTTTGTATTTTTAAAAAAAGCCAATTTTGAGTTAATGTTAATAGGATAGTTTTTTGTAAGAAAGGTCTAAACTGATTTTTCAGTCATTTTTTGTAAGCTGTTAAAATATTTATACCCTCCAGATATACAGGTAGTCCCCAGTTTAAGAATGAGTTCCGTTCCCAAGGTCTGTCCTTAAGTCAAATTTGTATGTAAGTTGGAACAGTATTTCTGACAGAACATGTATAATACTGTGTAAGTAGTATTGTGTAATTAACTCAAACCATTGTGTATTTAACTCAAATCATTGAGTATTGAACTCAAATTTTGCTACAATAGACTCCATTCTTAATTATGGGTCGTCCTTAAACCAGTCGTTCTTAACCTGGGGACTACCTGTACAACTGTTCCTTTAATGCTCAATCTTAATAATTTTTGCCTGAGTGTCAAACATCTATGTGCATGCAATCATTCTGCATAAGTTGCATCTGCTGGCCTGTAAGAATTGCTGGCTTTCTCTTTTGTGTCAGCCAGCTGTGCCTGCTGACCTTGCATAATGTTTTGTATATGGAAGCTTTTCTGCCAAAAAAGATATTACTTCTTCTAATAGAAAACTGAGATGATGTATATTGATGAGTAGGCGGCCAGTGAGGATTAAGAGAGAAGTATCAGTCAGCAGGGTTTGCAGACATGCAAAATATATTAAACGGGGGGTGGGGGGTGGAATCCTGAAAGGCTTTCTCCCAATTTTTTTTTTTAATCAAAACTAAGGCCCATGTGTAGACATGGAGTGGAAACAATGATTTTTTTTTTCTTTTAGAGCCTTTGCTGGGTGAATGAAACCCTGAATGAAGAAGATTTTGCTGCATGTTCCAATTATTTTTATTGTAAAACACAACATAAAATTCATTCAATAGTTTGTATTTTGTATGAAGAGTGATGGTGAAATATTTTCTCTGCTGAAATTAAAAATGCGCTTCAAAGAAAGTACAGGTAGTCCTCGCTTAACGGCGGCCCCACTAAACGACCAATTTTCTGATCCCTAGTGTGGTTGTTAAGCGAGGACTACCTGTATGTTGTAACTCATGTTAGTTTTACATATTGATAGGAAAATCATATCTTCCATCTGTCAGATGATAGGAGATTCTGATTTACATAGTCAGCATGCCTAGTCCTCACAATGATGGAGAATGTTTAGAAATGGATAAGGCCAATAATCACAGCACATACATTGGGTAGTCAACATACTTATTTCTCAGACGGCAACTTTGGTTAACCTTGAGATAACTTAGGAAATTGATGGAGAAGTTCAAAGTATATCTGATCAGACCATGCTTTCCAAGATTACTTGGTTATTATCAGTGTGCAAAGACTTATATGGATACTTTCAATTTGTACATTTTCTCCATTCATGAAAAGAAATTGCACATTCATTTTTTCACTTGAAATAACCCCAATGTGTACATGAGAATTCTATCTGGTGCTTAAAAACGATGTGGGAAAACTGTTTGACAACAGAAATGGACTACTTATTTTATTAGCCAGACCTAGAAATAAAAAGTTTTCAATTCACTAGCTTACAAGATGGCAGTTTTTTGAAGTTCTTTATTGCAAAATGTTGATGCTGAATAGAATCTCTTCCATTGGACCCCACTGTATTGCATTATCTTCTTTTTTCCATTCCTTTTCTATAAGAAGGAATGTTATTTGAGAATTATATGGTATTTTGCTTATTTAACAAATGTTACTACAAATTGAAAGTGCTTGGGGATGGGGAGGTTCAAAGATATTACATATGAAAATAGTACCACTTCTCTCTTGTGTAAGGGGCATAATAAATCTTTTAGAAACCAAGTAGAAGTTTCAAATTGCAGTTTTCTATTATTACAGGTATCGTAGAGAATAGCTTGGATGGTCTGGTGTTTGAGTCCCTGATCCCAAAGCCAATACTACAGCGTTACGTGTCACTCTTGATAGAACATAGGAGAATCATTTTATCTGGTCCAAGTGGCACTGGAAAGACATACTTAGCCAATCGCCTGTCTGAGTATATGGTCCTTAGAGAGGGCAGGGAGCTGGCTGATGGTGCTATTGCAACTTTTAATGTGGATCATAAGTCCAGTAAGGTGAGTGTTACAGATACTGAATTGGGGAAAATATTGTTTATGTTTGCAAATAATTTGCCTTCCTGTGCAAACACTTCATAGGAAATGAAATACCTTAAACCTTACCCAGAATGGAGATACACATAACACTTCTTTGAATAGTGGGTTGATACAGCTTCTGGTATGCCTTAGAGACTGGAAGAGGAATCCTTCTGTATAATGAGAAATGGTATTTAGTTACTAATTAATGCCTTCTTGGGTTTCCTCTACTGTCTCCTGTAATGATAATTTGTACTAATACTCCACAAAACCCACCTGCACAATGACATTCCGGGAAGTGGAATGTCTTGGTGGCGTCTTAATCCTTTTGGAATTCCAAGCCTGTCCAAAGCTACTTCTCTTTTTGTCTCCTCCCTTATCCTGGTATATAATGCTTACTTTTCATAATTGCTGCTGTTCATAGGCCCTGCTCTACTCTCTCTTTAGACACCGCCTCCTATTCAGTAATGAAATCAAGGTAGACCCAGCACCATGTAGAGAAGCAATTACATGCTCTGAGAGTCACTATTTTGGGATTAAGCAAGAGAACACTGTTCATTGTCTCAGACAAGATAACCAGCTTACCTGAACAATTATTTGTAGACTTCATTCAAAATATTTTTTTAAAGAACTGTGTGGCTGTGTGGTTTGTTACTGTATTCTTGCAAAGGACTTTTTACAATTGAATCAAACAGCCTTCATCACCTCCAAGCCATAATTACAGGCCAGTTTTTTCCTATTGCATTATTTTTACAGGAACTCCGGCAATACCTTTCCAACCTTGCAGACCAATGTAGTAGTGAAAATAATGCAGTGGAGATGCCTCTTGTAATCATTTTGGACAATTTACATCATGTCAGCTCCCTAGGAGAGATCTTCAATGGGCTTTTGAACTGCAAGTACCACAAATGGTAACAATATTGTTTTACCTTTGCCTTTCATGATGGAAAGTCTGTTTTTCCACCAACAAACTTATTCTCTGAACCTTAATTTAACCGTAATTTAATTAATTTCAGTGCCCATAAATAGACTATTGTTTATTTAAACAAATCATAGTAAAATTTTACTGATTTTTAGTTCAACTGCTACTCAGAAGGAAGCATTCAGGTTTTCCCTTAAGTGAACATGTAGGATTTCTATCTGAATATGAGCCAGTAAAACTACATACATTTATAAATCCTGCAACCAAAGATTTGACTGTACGTGAATTATTTAATAAAGCTCATAAGTTTTTTTTAAAAAAGAAAAGCTAATTGTAATGTTTTTGTAATTTAATTTTTAAAAATTAACAGGAAAAAGTATTTCAACTCCCTTTACTGTGCTGCTCTTTTATTGCTGTCCATCATTCCCAGGCTTCCCTTGTCTGTCCACTATTTTCTAGCCAATAACTGGAGGTTTTATCCTTTAGACTAGAGATGGGTAACAAGTTACTCCAGTTGCATTCAGTCCCTTAGTCTTGTCTTATGGCCCTCAGACCATGCTTGCTGAACATTGACAGCATACTTTCCTGCTATTTTGAGGTGAGAAATATGTAAAAGCTGCTGTGCAAATTCTACAATAAGTATATCATAGTTTAAAAAAGAAAACACCTCAACTTTCTCCTTCCCTTGGATTGTTGAGGATCATAGGGTGGAGGGCTGGAAGTCCCAAACTTCCCCAGAAGCCTTTGGGGTCTTCACACCCTGGTCCTGTCTCCTCCTTTGAGGTAGTGGCTTGGAAGTCCCACTGACATCACCTATCTTCCAGTGGATGCTGCTTCTGGCATCTGCCCCAAACTCAGATGTGCAAAAGAGATTGGGTTTCATGGCCTGCACTGCTTTTCTGGTTATTAAAAAGGTCAAAATGCTTTGAAATAGGGTTACCTCCTGACCATGACATAGAATAGCATAGCAGTGTAGTGACTAGTGTAGTGGCCTTTTCCCCCTTTTGGGAGATAAACAAATCTCACAGAAGATAAACAAAATCAAGATAAGATCTTATCTTAAAAAAGATAAAATGTAAAAAAAAAACCCTTTAAATATAAAATGCAGGCCTTCCATGTGGAAGAAGATAATACAGCAGCCTGCAAATTAGTTTTTTAAAAAATCTAAAAGAAAAAGTACTCTAGACAAAATAGCAATATACTACAAATGCAAAGCTTTTTGTCAGAATCTCAGACAATATACTGGAGAGGTTTCAGAGGTTACAGATCACAAGAAATTTTAAAGAGAAATTATATTTTTTACGAACATACCCTGAGATTTGATTGAAAACATTCAATTCTATAATTGATAGACATAAAGAGCACAACAGACACAGCAAACAGAAATAAAAGAGCTAGAGCAAATTCCTGGCTTTACATTTTATCTATGTCTACAAAAATAGGTGATCCCTGAAACAAACATTCATATGCTTGAATGTAGACTTCTCCAGCTTCTTGAAGATTCAATATTAACTGAGGCTTCTGGGGAGATAAAAAACACCAGTCTTTGTCAGCCCCTTTCTGCCAACTTCTGTCTTTTAAAAAAGCCAAACCTTTTTCATTGACAGCACAGAATGGCTGGAGTAATTTGAAAATATATAAGATAGTTGCCTATCCCCTGCTCTAGACCAACTTCCTCCTAACCAAGTACCTCTCAGGTAGATTGGATATCCAATCCTACCATGAGCAGGACATCTGAAGGGCAGTAGGTTGGGGAAGGTTGCTCTAGACTTCATTCATGTTCTCGTTTCTCAAATTCTTGCTTTGCATTCTAACTACTTTTCCTGTCTTTCCCTCCTAGAAACCCTCCTGTTTTAAATCTGTATATGAGGATTTTAATTTTCCTCTCACTGTTTTTTAAAATGTTTTTCAAAAGTTTAACTGATCATCTCACTGCAGAGCAAATAAAATGTTCTAAAGCATTCCAGAAATTCAGCCAGCACAGGAGGCAGCATCACAACAACTCTGGGATAGAATCCATTCACATCTTATGAGTAGGAAGCAAAAAAGCACATGAGATGATAATTTAAAGTAAAAAAGAAAAAGACTTTCTAGAAATAAATGCTGGCTAACCTTTTTCCTATAGTCCTTACATCATTGGAACAATGAACCAAGCAACATCCTCCACACCTAACCTTCAGCTGCACCACAACTTTAGATGGGTCCTGTGTGCCAATCACACTGAGCCAGTCAAGGGCTTTCTTGGCCGATTCTTGAGAAGAAAACTCATTGAAACAGAAATTGGTGGGCGGATGAGAAATGCAGAATTAATTAAGATTGTAGACTGGATTCCCAAGGTTTGGCAACATCTCAACAAGTTCTTGGAAGCTCACAGTTCTTCAGATGTTACTATTGGTGAGAAATTTAAAACTCTTTATGCAGGGATTATTTGTGGGGTTGCCTCTCTCCTATCATTTCTACCTGTCCCATTGGACCTGACAGAAGAGGGATGCTATGGGTCTCAACAATTAAGGAGTATCATTGGATGGGACCCAGAAAGTGATCTGTTTCTGTTATGGTACCTGTCCTTTGGCACATCATTCCCTCAGAGATTAGACTAGCCCCAACTTGTTGACCTTTCACAGTCCCCTGAAGACAGAGTTGTGTTCCCAGATATGGAGGTCAGATTATGAGTTAGAGTCTGTGAGGTGGTTACTTTAATTGTCGCCTGACTGATTTTTACTTTGGCTGCCGGTTATATATTTTATTTTGCTGTTGCTTTTATTTTTGGCTGCAGTTAGCTACCCCAGAATCACTACGGTGAGATAGGCAGCCACATATATTGAATGGACAGATAAATAAGGGTCCTAATCTTTCTTAGGCTTCTTCTAAACAGAAAATGTGAATGGACTTTCATAGAAAATCAGAGATCATCTGATTATTAAGAAAAAACTCACTTTTAAATGTTGATTCATTCAAGATGCTGTAGAGAAAATGTAGTTGATTGATAAATCCCTACTTAGTGTAGATACATGTAACTTGCTCATTTCTTATAACTGAAGTACCCTCTCATAATAAATAAGTATTTTCCCCTGTCTTCCCTGCCTTTTTTCTCTTTCTCCTGTCATTCTGTGACATTATTGTTAAAATAAATTTATCAGATCCTCCTCACTGAAAATAATCAGCTTGTAATTGTATGTTTCTCCCAATTTTCACAGGTCCACGGCTCTTTCTCTCTTGCCCTCTAGATGTGGATGGGTCAAGGGTTTGGTTTACTGACCTGTGGAACTACTCCATTGTTCCCTATCTTCTGGAGGCCGTCAGAGAAGGGCTACAGGTAAGGGCATTTTACAAAGGCCGAGATATAAATATGGCAAATAGGTGCACAATTCCAGGCTGGTTGTGGTTTTGTGTTGCAAAACCCTGAAATTCCCTGATGATAGGCATGGGACCACGCTTTATTTTTGTGTCCTTTTTGAAAGCATCCACAAATATGGCCAGTAAAATTGTCATGTCTCTAGAGGCAGCAGAGCAAACATTTTTGGATCTGCTTTTCCGTGTTTTGTTTAGAGTTAAGGGCAGAAATTCATTGCTGATGCTTAAGGCACTGATTTTGCCATTTTAAGCCTGCCAAAATGGGAGGTTGGGGTTTTTTTAAGGATTGCTATTTCTCTATAAGAGTTACCCTTTTACCCTTAAAATCCCCCATTTTTCTCTCAAATGGAGTTGAAAATATCAGCCCTGCTTAGAGGGCTCTGGGGCTTAATGAGTTATTTAAGGGCCATGTGCCTCTCAGAGGTGGCCATTCTTGCTTTGCAAGTTCATTAATCATAGAAAAACTTGGTGCTCTTGATTTGTAACTGTTCTCAGTCCTCATTGGCCCATTTTCAGAAAGTCTTTCCCTTTTAGAGGGCTGTTCTCCAAAAATTTCATTTTGGACTCCTGCATATCTTGGGGGTGCTGATACCTTGGGCATGCTGATACCTTCCTCTTCAGTGTAGATGGAGCAGCTACATAAGGCCTGACAGTTGAGGCCATGAATTCACTGTTATTAATATGTAAGGAAATATTGGAATAAATAAGCTATGACATCCTGATACTGTCTAACCAATAGTCCCCAAGTGTGGACTGTTGATAGTAGTTCCAAGGATGGTCTATAAAACCAGTCTACTGAAGACATTCAGGTTGCACCAACACAGGGGGCCATGCTCAGGGGCAACTGCAGTTTTCAAAAAAAATGTCCTAGGGCAGAGCTCTCTTTCCAAATGTGAGTAAAAAATGTTTCAGGGTCTTGTTGGGGTCAGCTTGCATCAACAGCAGGATGATAATCCTGATGCAGAGAATCTGGTTCTCTGTGTGCCGCAGGGACTTTCCTCTATAGCACTATCAAATGAATAAATATTATCTTTGGCACCCGTTTCCATTTGGCAGTTCTCTCTTTCTCTCCAGGGTTTTTGTGTTTAAAACATGTTTTATGACCTTGTACTTTGAAATGAAGAGCAGGACCCACCCTTTTTCCTGTCCACTCAGTGACTCCTTGGGCACATCACTGTTGGATGAATCTAACATAGTCTTTGCCATGAGGAATCCTGTCTGAGCCATGAACAGACCATTGTGATAGTCCCCACTTGCTCCAGTTTGAGTTTTTCTGGAAATGCAAAAATTGGAAAGTTTAAATAAACATTTGACTTGGGCTCCACCTTGGTTATCTGCCAACTCCTCCATTATCTCTCCAACCTTGCATCGTATCAATCACAAATAAATTTATTCTGTTATTTTTAATATCCTTGCTACCACCTTGTGATTCTAAGACAGAAGACTAGTAATGGGCAGAGATGGGGCAAGAGAAATAATGTAATTTTAATTTCCCATGATTCAGAAATTAGTTCTTGACATATTAAATAGTGATTTACACATTAATAAACTATATATTGTTCTGAATATAGAGAAACTGAGTGGGAAATAATGCCTTTCGCTATTTCCAAGCAGTAAAAGTCTGTGAGTGCTGAGTTTAACTTTAAATATTTGCATGTGTATCAATTACAAATGTAACATAGCTACAACTTTGATATATACAATATTTGTCCACCTGTCCCTGAGTATATTAATGTTCTGTCATTCAATAAGTCTTCGGATCTCTTTGCATATTCCATTTTTGGAGATTCATTGAAGATTTTAACTGCACACCAAACAATGTAAACTATGAATGTATCAAACATTTATCTGCAAGCACATATATTCACCTTACAGGGAACTAAGATTAGCTATTGAGTTTTTGCTGTATAAGACCAATTTTACTTCTGATCAATATGTGAAATAGCCTCAAGGTAGAAATATCTCCAGACATTTTATCCCCACAATAACAATAATGTGAGTAGGTTGGGCTGAGAGAGAAGGATTTGCTCAAAATCACCCAATGAGTTTCTTAAGGTGAGGCTAGACTTTACCCTGTGTCTCCACAGTCTTACTTCAACTCTAGAGCAATCTACCGAAACAATCTTTTTCAGCTGCTGTGCTCCAGCCATGTTGAAAATCCTACAATTCAGGGAGTTGTAGTTCCAATTATATTAGGCACTGGATTAGGAAGATCAGCACCAGAAGATTCCTTATATCTGAGAATGAAGTAGAGATACCCAAAATTGCTGTTGTCCCACAGTCTGCTACTCCTTTCATTGCTATTTGTAACAAGACTAACTACCTGATCACCAGAAGTGGTTTTGGCAACATCCAGAGTAGCAACAAATCATTTCCAGAACATTTTTTTTCAGGAGTGAAGGGAGGATAAATTTAAGATAAATGTTACTGGGTAAAGGTGCAGGAGGCAACACTTGGAGCCACTGTCCTTGCCAGGACCTTTTGTATCCTCTCCAAGTTTCATCTGCATGATGAAGCTTCTTCCAGTTATTGGAGGTGCTGGAGGAGGCTTCTGAAGTGAGGGGAAGCCAAGCAACAAGACCATTTGGCTTTGCTTTAGAATTGGGAGGGTGGATGGGCTCCAATGCTTCAGGAAACAGCTTCAAAGGTGAGCTTTCCAGGTGACTTGCCTGAGGGAAATGGCCCCTTTGAAGCTTTGCACAGTCCTGTTACAGAGCCATAAAAAATGGGTTTGAATGTAGTATGTCTTGACTTAGCAGGTTCAGCCTTTGCCTTTGGAATAAAGAACCTTTTTTATTTAACGCATTTTGTGTTGGTCTTCAGCCAAAAATTTTCCAGAACATCTTAGAAAGATCAATATTAAAACTGGCTGATAATATAAAATGGACATTACAAAAGAAGGGGAAAAAAAGAGGAAGAGCCAGGGCAGCATTTTTTAAATTTGTCTACCTTAGCTCAGCTGTTAGCAGCTGTTCTTCAGATGTGTTGCACTACAGCTCATATAGTGCCCAATCAGCAAAGGTGGACCACTGGTTTCATTTTTTGGAGGTGATTGGACCTGAGGTTCAGCACATCTAGAGAGCATCAAGTTGGGGGAGGCTGCCTTTATATTTTTTTCCCCCCACTCTCCTGTACTAATTGCTGGACACCCAAGAAGCATCAGATCTTTGATTTATTGGTGGCTTTCTCTGATTAAGTATCCCTGCTTTCAGATGATATGGTGACACCTAGTGGACAGATTTGCTCACAAAGCCTTTGTTGCACTGTCAGGTTAGAATGTACATTTTACTAAGAATATGGGTAGGAGAGGAGAATCTTCCTCCCTATATATTGGAGTATAATCCATATCATTGGAATCATTGGTCAAATGTATTTATATCTTTTTAGCAAAGTATTTTTTTTCCTGGAATGTGTGTTTTGTTATCATCTGTGGCTTGGATCTAAAGTGCCAACTTGTTCTTCAGTCTCAAAGGAATGTATTTTTCCCCAAGCTGTGTATATGCAGTAGGTATTCACTCACTCACTCATTCATTTTATATCCCAGTTTTGTTCAGGAGCTGAAGGTATAAAGTATGTATTTAACACTCCTTCCTCCCTGTTTCTTTTGAATGAAGAGAGATTCAAAAATATAGATCCTTCTGGTCAAAGGGGAAAACCCCCCAGTAATTTAGATTTTTAAAAACCCAGTAATAACCCTCTGATCTGTTTTTTTCTCCACATTGTCATGCTACTTTCTGTTCATGGCAGACCTTCTGGTTAGAAGAAGGAGACTGCAGCTTTCTCATCTTTTATTTTCCTCCTATTAGGAAGTTTCTTCAAGTTTCCATTATTATAGGCACAACATTGGATTAAATGTTATGGGCAGGGACTGCTTTAATTTTTAATTTAAACACATTATTTAGCATCTGATTTGATTGCACTGGACTACAACTATTGTAATTCCAGCCAGCATGTTCAATGGTTGTTACTGAAGAGTACTAGATTAGGGAAGGTTCTACTAGATGATATTTACTAAAAGATCTAGTTTTCTATTTCTTCAACAGTGGTGCAGCAGATCACATGGCAGACTTCCTGTAAAAGTTCAGAGAGTTTCATAAAGTATTACTATTATAGGAGTTTCTACTGATCAAAAGTAGAATTTCACTGGTCATACCAAAGGAAACACCAAATCTGGGTAAAAAGACATTGATTGGTAGTTGCTGGACAAATAGTACGTACACCTTCTTAAGAAAAATACAAATTTGGTTGTGTTTCCAGCTCTAGGATTGTGATTACAACTTAATTGCAAATTTTCAGTGCTGTGAAAATACTCGGCTTGTAAACAAAGAAGGAATAGAAACATTTACCTTCATGCATTCTTCATTTTCTGAATGGAAAAATGAAGAAGGATAATGAGAAAAGTAAGACAGTGAGCCCCACTCACAAAGGAGAGTTGCAACAATCTGCTAGTGGGTTTCTGTTCCTTCTCATTTGGGGTGTACAGTGGATATTCAAAGAGAAAAATACTTGTTTTAAACTGGAAATTTTACATGTAACCACACCACAGGCTTCTAAGTTTATGCAAACGATATGGATCCAATAGATTTTCAAGAAGCCTCAGATCCACTGATTTAAAAAAATCAAAGCAGACAGGGATTTCATCTGCTACAGTTGTACATTTCATTCTTTATTTCCTGTTGTATTTGTTGATGTGTTATTTAAGAGGTTTGCAATGGTCAGTGTCATCCATAACAAGCTGTCACGAAGCTAAATGATGATGTCATATCATTATGTACTTACGTCATGATATTTCATGTAAATATATAAGTTGTTTCATTTCCATGATGACATACATGATATACATATCATCATTTACCCCCCTCTTCTTACAAATGCCCATGTACATGGTGTGTATACCTTAATTATGAAGAGTCAGAAAGAACTGATTTTTGTGAACTACAGCTCACTTCATCAAATGTAAGGAGCGGCTAAACTGATATAAGCTTTAAATTGAGATGAGATGGAAAGAAATGGGAAAGAATGTTAGTTATGCAGATGTGAATTACATGAGAGACAGAGTACAAGCACCTTATCAATTAACATTTGTAATTTGGTAAAAACCCACTGTATTTGTTAAGACCTTCTGAGATAGCCTGAAACCTTTTGATGTACAGTATGTAAGTTCAGCAGTCTTTCATTGAATTATGCTAGTGAAGTTCCTTCGTTCTAGAGTAGTTACTTTGAGATCCATAATGGAACGTCCTGGGAGATTAAAATACAGTGGAACCTTGGGTTACGAACGCTTCTGTTAACGAACTTTTCAGGTTACGACCAGCTCCGGCCGCAAAATTTTGCTTCGGTTAGCGAACTCCGCCTCGGGGTAAGAACAGGATACGCGGCCATTTTCCCTCCTGTAACACAGTCCGCGGCCATTTTTCCGCCCCTGACATGTGGTCCGTGGCCATTTTTCCGCCCCTGACAT